GAGCAGCTCAGCAGGTCCCAACACTCAAGCATTACTTAGACCAGACCTTCTGCCATCGACATTTCATCATCTTTCTCTAGAATCTCGTATGAAGATAAACGTTGATCAGCGTAGCTCTAAGCCGAATATAGTTCTTGATTTTCATCACTTGTGGCAAAACTGTGGGATAAAAATGGACAGGGGGCCTCACCGCCAGCATATACTCGCGAATAAAGGACACCGAGGCTTTGTAATGTTGGCATCTTCGGGCATCTTCTTTAGAATTGAACTCCAACTACTATCTCCAATTTTTGGTATTGAAATATAGGTACGACACATTGGAGAAAAATAACACGTGTACAATTGTACTGGAATCCAGCCTTGACTTCTCCAACAACCTCCCAAGTCAACTATGGCAACTACTGGTATTTCGGCAATGCCGATTATGATTGGAGCAATCTAAGTCTGGCGGGTGATTTCAACATTTCGTCCACCAAAATATTGATAACCTCCCGAAGTACCGCTTCATCGAGCCTGATCAGACTTTCACTTCCTACTCCGATCGTTTTCTTTCCTCTGAGCTTGTAAGACTGGTAAAAGTTCCTGAAATAGGCCACCTCAGAGCCCATTGTGTCGCTCAGAAAAGGAGACTTTGGTGGCTGTTGAGTTGTTGAAGAATTCAGAATCTTCCAGACTGCAAACCACTGCTTTTTGCGACCAGGAAGCTGTTGAGTGCGTGCAATGAGATAATCTTGATCTTCTGTGACGCCCCCGAAAATAGCTTCACCCGAAGACTCACAACCGCGACTGATGATGTGTTTGTCTCGTAGACTAGCGTTGCAGAATGTATGGGCACAAACTGGGCAGTTGTAAGGGATCCGGTGCGCCGTCCAAATATGATCTTTGACATCTGACATTGTAATCAAAGCATCGACTCGTAGACATTGAAGATGCTCCCAAGGGCTATCGACAAACAAGGGACATGCAAATTCGGTAGATCGAGCGCGAATGTCTCTTCGTTGTGATTTACGTGACCCACGTCTACCCGAAGTGATAGGAAGTGTGTTTGTTTTGCTTCGTCGCTTCTCCCTTCCTGTGTCGTGACTGACAATGTGCTGGTATGTCTTGAAACTCTTGTGCGCCTTCCTAGCTAGACTTTTGACAAGTATGTTGTCATCCGCCAGAGCTCTGTAACTAGCAAATGACTGCTTTGCTGATGTCGCCGTAGCCGCCTTCGTGGAACTGCCAGCGGTGTTGTCGTCAAGAGATTCTGGGGTGACAGCCCTAGCGGACGATGGCTCGACGAAAGTGTCTGGATCGAGACCAGTTGGTATAGCATCAAGAATGCATTCTTGCTTCACTGATGTCTGACCTGCTTCCTCGGACTGGTTTCTTTGATGTTCAATCGTCGGAGACTTTTCTTCACGCATCGAACCTGCACAATTCTTTTCAGAATCGTCGACGGGGGCGCGTTGCTGCAAAGGACTCCCGGTACTTGAGGGATCATCCTGTATAGGAATGCCGTCTATCGAAAGTACAGTGTTCTTGTTGCTAATCGACCGTGTGCGAGTCTTCGAGTTTCGTAGGTGGTTGAATCGAGTCGCTTTGACAGAGCCGTTAGTGAAGTCACCCGCATCAATCGTGATTCGCATGGCTTTCGCATGCTCAGTTGCAGAGGCTGTCTGTATCGCGCTAGGCTGCACACGATGATATATTCCAGATACGCCTCGGCGGATCAAGATGCCGCATCTCTGTGCTAGTAGGTAGTCGTAACTGCGCAAACGTGCTCCGTTCCCAAGGTCAAGAAAGATGGTGTCCTCGCTTTCAACAATGCAATTACCTTCTACTACGACCCCGTCGCGACTCCTAGAAATAGTGAAGGTTCTGGCGTTTTTGAAAGGGACACCGGCAAATTTCGTCCTCCCAAACCAGCTAAACTCATCGGCTGAATTGGCAAAAATGCCTCGAGGAATTGAACCGTCAAAGCTGGTCCAAGCGAACAACGACATATCGCCTGTCTTGTCTAGAATTGCCCCCTGAAGGTTCCGGAATGCTAATTGTTTACCCTCGCCGTAAATTATTGGCAAGGTGACGCCAAAGATACCAAGAAGAGCGTATGACGAATCCTCGCCACGAGTATCCTTCTTTCCTGCTGCCCAAGACATCTTGCGTGCAACTGAAAAAGAATGTATAGGTCGTGATGTATCTCTGGGTATGTCTTCTATGCCTGTGACACGCTCTAAGAAAGATTGGAAAGCGAGCGAAGAAGTGTCCCCTCGAAGGTGCCAATTGCAGTCATAGAAGTAGATTCTCTTAGGGAACAGGAGTTCTTGAAGACTCCAGGATCGATTCCAGAACAGAGATTTCTTCCAGGTTTTTGCACATTCGTAAGGCGGGCAGCAGGGCAGATCGAATAGGTAAACGAAGCAAATGCGCGCATTTTGAAAATATTCCGAAAGGGAGTTGATGGCATGAGAGACCTCATCAAACGAGTTTTTATCGATACATAACGAGTCAATCCAAATGTAGTCCAGGCCATTCTGGCGTGCAAGGAGACAAGCATTGTCGATGACTGCTTTGCGGCTTATGTTATCGGGCAAGCTGGCCGAGTCGTATGCGTCCCACTCATCATGTCCAGGGGTCGAGTAAACATGAGATAAGATGGCATAGTCAACTCGTAAAGGGAAGCTGTGATTTGATATCTTTCTGGTCGTGCAATGTACGAGCTTCATTTGCGTAGGTGTTGGTGATGGAGATTGTGGCCCGAGGTCGGTGGGAAGGACGTGTTTGAGGGTGCGTTGCATATGAGCTGGACAGAAGTGAGGAATTGGGGCCCAGAACTTTTATATGACAGAGAACGACTGCGTCACTTTCCGACAACTGATGTAGCCTTGTGGACGTGTAGTTGTGTGCACAGCTGTGCACTGGGCTAGTGTAGCCTGACGCTGCAAGAGGCATGGAAACGCCTCGCGAATGGCCCGTTTGTAGTGGTGGCATGCCGTTCTGGCTTGCATGGAACATCTGAACAACTTCGATCGGGGCGTCTTTGTGGTGCGATAGCGCCATATTAGAACTCCACGCGTGTACCCGAGTACTTGTGGTAACTACATGTACTGTTTGCTCCCCGGCCTGTTCAAAAGGTTGTGAACTTATAGCATGCACTACCCAGTCTTATGAATGAATTTTTTTGCAATCTCGCGAGTGTTGCCATTTGATTGGAAGTGCGACATTCATATGTCGACTAGGTACCATTGATACAAACACTATTTGGCGGACAACGAGGCGAAGCAGTCCACAGGTAATGAATCAAGACGACAAGGTATTCGCAGATACTCCAGCCAGAAGTTCATCGTCAACACTTCATGCCTGTTCCTTGAATCGTGAACCCATATGCAAGGTCTACGCTTAAGATGAACAATGCCATAGACGCCTTGAATGCGGTGATACTGGTTGCATGTAGTCAAATGACACACATCACTGCCCTTACCGGCATGCGACCCACACGTACCGTTGGGTAGCCCATGTACTTTGCTGAATAAAGAAGAAAAGTCTACCAAGGCGTCTGTTTATATCACGGGGAAAGACAAACAATTCAAGTAGATGGCGCAAAGAAAAGAGCTGCTCTGGTACAGAGCATGCCTATCGTATCGAACAGCATCGGTGCCACATTCATAGTTGGGTTCGTATTACAAGGTAGTGCGGATGATGAGGGTGCCTACCCACACCGAGGGTCTTGTGATGTGACCTTGTCCGCGGATGGCCGGGAGATTCTACGCTGAGAAGAATCCTTAGCCCTTTGGCTGAGCCAAATGATCATGAACACCGACTTTGTGCGGGTCTCAGGCAAGCTTTGTGGCCTGACTGCATTTGACGCCCGATTGGAAAGGCAATTGAGGCGGTAGGCCAAGGTCTGACAGGTCGGCTGAACAGCGAAAACAAAGAAAATGATGAACCCTATTTCGCCGCTGGAACCCAGTATTGCCAATTCCGCCAACCGTTGCAAGTGTCTGAGGCCAGGCTGAAATGCTCCGAAGCAAATCCTTAACGACAGGCTGCGTCCGAGAGCACGATGAAAGATCCTCAGAACTGTTCATCTAGCTCTAGGAGGTCAAAAGATGCCGAGGAAAGGCGGGTAAGGTGAGCAGTCAACATGGTTCATGTTGGTCGAGATTATGTCTGATCCGCCCGACGAGCAATACCCGACTTGAATATCCAAGTATATTGCCAGCGGCTAGTACCTCTCAAGTGACCTAAAATCGCACGTATCGAGGAATACCTGATTATGAACTCTCCAGGATTATGTTTTGATATCCGCTCAGGAATGTATTAGGGGCAGTTTTGAGCTAGGCTGAGGCCTCATGAATAAGCATGGGTCCAATTCCAGCATCCCATGATAACACCAACTACTGTGTCTTTGGTAGTGGCGCAACAGCCGCAAATCCATGTAGCGACAATCGGTTTACTGCAAAGCCAACATTATGATTTGAAAAATGGTGGTTATTGTTGGCAGTCTGATTGAGAGGTTGAGAGGGCGCATCCATGGAGGGCCTCCGTGAAGTGCGACGCTGGTGAGGGGCATGTGAGTGGCATGCCTGCGCAGGCACAGGCGCACGTTTGAGTCGAATGAGACGTGCAGTTGAGTGTCTCATCCACTGCCCATCCCATCTCTTCTTATCCTTCACTCTCGACTTACTCTTTCTCGTTCTAACGAGGCTCATCACATTATTTCATTCTTAATCATCCTTCCCTTAAAACCCTCACGGCTGATGACTGAAAACGTCTCATTTAAAATGAGTTGAGCTAGCTGCGGGTCTCCGAGACATCCCCGAGGTCGGAGGGGCCCTGGAGACGGAGCTGGTGCCCCGCGGCTGTTTTTAGTGTTTGACTCATCGCTTTCAGGAGTGAGAAAACCAAAGGCTACTAATGAGAATTTCTGAGTGAGAAAGAGTCAACATCCCTTCAAGTTCGACCAAACGCCCCTTTTCAACCCAATCAACCAACCCATAAATCAGACATTCAACATGGCTCCCGCCTCTCACGACCACATCCTGACGCTCTCGTGCCCGGACAAGTCCGGCATCGTCCACGCCGTGACGGGGGTGTTTGCGGCCGAGAAGCTCAACATCCTGGACCTCCAGCAGTTCTCCGACCCCGTATCGGAAAAGTTTTTCATGCGTGTGCACTTTGGGCCGACCGAGTCCGAGTCGACGGAGCACCTCAAGGGCCCGTTCGACGCCCTCGCCGCCGATCTCCAGCTGGACTGGTACCGCATCCGGCCCGTCGCCCGGAAGCTGCGCACCCTGATCATGGTCTCCAAGATCGGACACTGCCTCAACGACCTCCTCTTCCGCGCAAAGTCGGGCCAGCTGCCCATTGACATCCCCCTCATCGTCTCCAACCACAACGAGTACCAGGGCCTGGCCGGCAACTACGGCATCGACTTCCACCACTTGCCTGTCAACAAGGACACTAAGGCTGAGCAGGAGGAGGCTATCCTGCGCCTGGTCAAGGAGAACGACATTGAGCTCATCGTCCTGGCCCGCTACATGCAGGTCCTGTCACCCAAGCTGTGCGAGGCCATGTCCGGCAAAATCATCAACATCCACCACTCCTTCCTGCCATCTTTCAAGGGCGCGAAGCCCTACCACCAGGCCTACGAGCGCGGTGTCAAGATCATTGGCGCGACGGCCCACTTCGTCACGGCTGACCTGGACGAGGGCCCGATTATTGAGCAGCGCATTGCTAGAGTTGACCACTGCATGAGCCCCAAGGACCTTGTCGAGGAGGGATCCAATATTGAGAGCCAGGTTCTGGCTGCCGCAGTCAAGTGGACTGCTGAGGGACGCGTGTTCCTCAACAAGACCAAGACGGTTGTTTTCAATTAGGCATCAAAAAGGATAGGGCATTAAACGGAAATGATAAATAAAAGTTGGTCTTTTTTCCTGCACCTCGCAATATCCATCTATTTTACATTATTCTGCTCTCTTGTCTCCGCCTCCCTTCTCTGACACATCTCCCTTCTCTCCCTTCTCATGACGACCCCAGTTGCCGTCAGGTAACTCGAAAACCAAGTCGCTGAAACCAGGGCTGCTATTCATCGGCGAATTGAAAGGCGACGGTAACTCTTGAGGTTGTTGCTCGCCTAAAGCGGACTTCCGATCATGGTGCTCTAATTCTGATATTGGCACCCCTTTTCCATCCATCTCAGCCTTGCCACCAGTGAAGATATCTGCATCATGTAAACCACGCCCGCTTTCATTTTCGTTTTTGTGTTCTCCGCCGAAATTCCTCTTTCTCCGAGCCCGCCAGCAGAGGAACCATATCATGGCCACCATCGCAACCAAGCCACACCCACCCGCGACTGCAATTCCTGCTATTGCACCTGTTCCTAATCCGCTTGGAGAAGCGGAGTTGACGCTGGTGGTCTCGGATGGTGTGCCTGATGTTGCTCCAGTTCCTGCCTCCACCTCTGTCCAATATTCCCGCCAGGTATCGACAAAGGTATCCGCAGGTCTCGACCGTAAGTCTTGAGTGTTATCCGGGACAATGAGCTGTTCTGACATTCCTGGTCCTGGTGCTTGTGCCATGAAAAATCGCTCTCGGTCATAGTTGAAACCGGTGAAAGCACCTTGCAGAAAAGCTCGACCAAACGTATATCGGTTCAGTGATGAGGAAGCCACGATGTCCGATTCAGTCCATGGTTTGCAAGGCCAATAAGTATCCACCCCCCAGTTCACATAGTTCTCTCTGGCGGGCATTCGATCTATTGTGAGATTCAATAGCCTGAAAGGAATCTTTATAGTAATGTTCCGGAAATTTTCGTCTGCGAATACGAAGGTCATGGAAGCTGGAGAGTTGACGAAGCGCGTGGTGCCGACGGGATCTGAGTGAAACTCCCACACATACAATCCGATTTCTGGCACCCAGCGGACGGGTAGGTGAGAAGCAGCAGCCTCACATACCTCCGGAGGAAGATACAAGTAAGGGGCAGCCGCATTTGGCAGGACCATAGCAGACCCGATAGGGCCACCGTACTTGTCAGCCATACTTCGAACGGCGGCAGGGAGACTTTCGCTTTGCCATACGCTTCCAACAGTTGTGTTGTATGGCGATGGTCCTGCTTCAAAGTCGAGAAGTACGTCCACAAGTATCACCCGAGGGAGAGTGGAATCTAGGCGAAACGTCCCTACGTCTCCTAGAACGCGGTTTTCTTCATAGCCCCCCAATATTAGCGATCCTGTCTGGCCCAATGTGACGCTTCCCGAATGCATGTACCAAGAGCTATTGGCGATGAAATTTTCCGACGTCATTTGGTCGGTGATGCTGTAAATGGAGTTGGGATTGGAATAGTCGTAACTAAGCTCATCGCCCAAGCCAATCGTTCCGACGGGTGCGGTTTCATTCGAGATGTTGGAGTATGCTGTCGGGTACAAATTGGGGTTGTAAATGTCGATGGTAATGTCGGCCCAATAACTTCTTTTAATGTCGCCCATGCGCGAAAGCAGGTTCGTGCGCTGTCGATATACCTTGCTCATGGCATTCTTGTCAAGTCCGAGAGGCCAGTCATCCATGAGTGCGACGGCGCTCGCGTTTGATTTGAGGACGCTTCCTCTGGATGCAGTACCGTTGTAGCTTCCCCCTTCTTCCACAGAAATCATCATGCTGTCTGTTGAACCCGTCGGCCAAAGGAAGTAAGCAATAGACCCGTGATCAAGAGACCCCGGCGTGTCCGAAAGCCCTATCGCTCGCCATGGTCCATCTGGGCCAAATGAGCTTGAGTTAACCCCTAATTCAGGGTCCGTCGACCAGTAAAGGCGCCGGTATTGGCTTCTCACGCATGTTATCCATGACAGAATAACTATCAACAATATGCCGTCGCGCATCTCGATAGAGAAAGTCGATAGTGACGTCGGAGGAAAGATTCCAATTACCAAATAACAACTGATGGCTGGTAAGAAAAAGGACAGACGTGGAATGTCCTTTGGCAGTCCCAGGAGGGGGTCGTGAAGGCGGGTCAACGAAGCAAAATAGAAGTTCCCTCTTAGTCTAGAAGAACCTTCTGCAGGAATATCTGTATTACATTGTCGGGAAACAGTCATCTCCCTTAAGTCTCGGAGGCGATGTTGCTTGGATGATTTTGAGTTGCATATGCATGTTGGAGCAGACAAAGCTGTTGGTTGGGCGGAGTAGGCTTGGCCGCCCCGTCACTGGTCACTGTGGCTGGGCCTGCGCATCGTGTGACAAACATCACGGGTATCAGGAGGCTTCCGTGGAACGTAAAGAGTACTTGGTGATCAAGTCTACAGGCGCAAGGCGGAAAAGCAAGCTGATAGTCAGGCGGTCGGTATCTTGGCAGGCTGCGGCGTAGAGCTGCATGTTGGTCCAGGGGTTCATACGGAGAAACATGGACGAAAGTTGCCCAAGTTGGCTATCTTTTGGGTTCGATGGCATCATAGGAGTCCTAGATGTTTCCATCAAAGGCCAAACAAGTTCTCCTGCATGCCCGTACCCACCCAACTTTGTCCTGTGCCCGTCCGTGTCTGCTCAGCTCTCGACCCAACACCTCCGAGACTATTCTCAAATAGTACTGTTTTCCGAGGATCATCTATATGTCCATAATCTATTCGGAACATTCAAGTGATAAGTTGCGTGCTGCGGCTTCCCGCGCTGCAGCGCCTCATAGTCTGAAGATAGCGGTGGTATTTGTATCACGAGGCTGGTGGGCAAACGGGTAGGCACGCCGCACAAGTGATCGACGTCGCCGAGGGAACAGAGAGGTGCATGCAGCCGACCGCGCCGCAATTGTACTTATCAAGAGAGTTCCAGTGATAAATCAACAGACCCGGATGCTCCGAGAATAGAATCAAATTTGAGCTAAGGGTACTCCTCCCTTTCTTTTGCGTATAGGCATGCAGCCGAGAAAGCCGTTATGGCCGATGAAGGCGGAACTCGGCCGCAACAACGACTGGCCTTCAAGTCCCACACTCCGTCTCAAGTACTTGAGGTACTGTTCGTTGTACGCCTACCTTACCCGCTACTATCATCAAACTCAAGAAGATAATAGAGAAGCGGAGTTACTACCATCAGAATTAACGAATTTGACTATTGGTCTGGAGCAGGTGAATTATATCACCTATCCTAAAGCAAGAAAGCACATGCGTTGATCTCAAAGTGGGCAGGAAACAAGCGGCTTGAATGTAGGCCGCAGACGCCTTTGGGGTTGACCTCGCATACCTTCACTTGCTTCGTCAATCATTACTCGCGCAACCAGAAGTGGGATTTTAGGGACGGTTCATTGTGGTAGGATATCCATGTTGCCGAAGACCGAGTAAGGAAGGTAATTGATCGGATGGGGACAGCAGCAGAAAGTCTGCTAGCACCTTAAAAACACGACCACTCATCTTAGGAATTGTGGTAAGACGAGTGCCCGATTTCGTTTTTCTCTTTGCGCGTGACGCCTCGTTGATATTATGTTGTCATTAACATTGAGAGTAACTTAGGTAGGGTGTAGCCTCATGTCAGGAATTCTGAACTAAGAAATAATGATTCCCTTAATCCTCCCAAAGTCTCATTTCGGAGATGTTATCAGTACATTGGCTTACGCAACCAGGCCAGCAACGAATGCAGCCGCGGCCGGTGCATCTTGCTCGTAGTTCCTGTGGTCGGCAGTGATGATGATGCCACCGTCGCAGATGTTGTCGCCGTCGTGGCAAATAACCTTGACCTTAGAGGCAGGGATGCTGCCAACAGCCTGGCCATCGAACGGGTCGCCGAAGATAAGGACTAGATAGTACAAGCTGTCAGCAAGCGGATCTCTGGATTATTCAGATGAGGAATTCTGTAGACATACCAGCAGAGACACGGGCGGTCTGGGCCGCGGTGAGCTTGGACGCAGCGTTGTGGACGAGCTGGCCACCCTGGCTGTAGCCGGACATGACGATCTTGGTGCTGGGGCACTGGGTCACAGCCTGAGAAGAGCCTGTTAGCTTGAAGAAACACCCTGCATGAAGGGTCTTGAACTTACGCGAGCAACCAAGTTGGCCATGGTGGTGCTGCCAGCTGCGTCGCCGCCGGCGAGGAAGCCGAGAATGCTTGCGGGGTAGTCGACACCCTGGACAGCCAAGTTGGAGGTTCCGACGAGACCGGCAAGGGCGTTGAAGAAGACGGGTCCTTCGGAGCCGGCCTCACCAACGTTGCCGGACTGAGTGGTGCCACGGGCCCAGATCAAAGTGACCTTGCGGCAAGCCGTGCCGTCGGTGAGCTGGTTGAAGGTGTCGCCGTTGTACTGGCGCTTGGAAATGGCGGGGCTAAGAGCGGCGGTCTCTTCGGGCTTGACGGAGTAGGCGGCGTTGTAGTAAGCCTCAAGCTCGGCGATGGGGAAAGACCCAATCTCGCTGCGAGCGACGGGGACGCTCTCGAGAGGGGCAGCGAGGGCCGTGGAGGCCGCGAGGAAGAGGAGGCTGGCCTTCATTGCGACGGTTCGGGGACGATGGCAGCTACTGGACCTGGGTTGCTTTGAGAAGCAGGAGGGACTTGTCGGGCTTGGGAGTCTGGAGCTCTGAAGATCTCTCCTGATGCTGGGTGCCGGGGAACAGGAGCTACTTTATATGCCCTCAACTCCATCTCCCGCGACTACCTTATGCGGAGCTTCGCACCTGTTCATGATCGAGATGGGCGCGCCTCACGCGCCGGGAGGGTTGCTGGGCCAAGCCTTGGCTGTCGTTGTTTGCTTCAGTCCCTCTCTCAGTTTGCAATGCGTCGCAGGGCCAGGGCCAGCATCAACCATTGGTGTCCACCAACGGTGTAGCAGTGCGACTCGAAAGCTTGGCCCGAGCCCCATTTCGGCCAGTGCATGGCTTCTTGACGCCTGCCATCTAGTGCCATTGACCAGTCAGACGAGTGCAAAACCAGGAACGTCGGTCTTCGAAGAGGAAGCTGGGACGGCTGAAGCAAGTTTCCCCAATTTGTCCTGCAGATTGACTAGCCCACTATAGCACCTCGGCCCGCACCGGTCTCCGTTTGTGCAGCTGATATTGAGTTGTCAAAACTCTTGGATGTCTTAAGGGAATCGTCGAGGGGTCAGCAACGGCCACGGCCTGCGCGGATGACAGCTGTAGGTGAAGTCTGGAGTTGGAAGTGATCATCCTGACTCTGATAGTGACCCCATGGCGTCATGATGCAACTTGATAGGCCCGGCAGTTCGCAGTAAATCTCGGGACCGGGGGGGCGCCTACCAAGCCACCAACCTGTCATTGAGTCCCGTGGCAGCTGAGGGTTGCGTTGACCGGCTCCCAGACGGGGCCAATGTGACATCGCCTCGGGGATGTCGGCCGATTGAAGGTAAGCATATCGGCGTCGAATCCCAAATCGTAACGGAGTTCTGCCGCTCATCGCGGGGTAATCGAGGCACTTGTGATAGGAGTTTGGGGATTGGGTGTCACGAAGAACACGTGGGTTGCGAGCCGAACATTGACCTTCCACTTTGACGGTGGAGTCCCGCCCCCAAGAGCTTGAGGGTGGGAGCTATGAATAATGATGTATGACCGCCGGGCGGTAAAGCAGCTTGGCAAGAGGAATCATTTGCTCAACTGGCGTAATTGATGGCCTCTTTGGGAGTTAGCTGAAAGTTAATCAGCGGGACTCGCCGAAAGCTTCGCATTGATTACATACTACAGGACAAAAAAAGAGTAATACGCGGTTTTGATTATGATATTGATAAGTTGCGCAATAGACAAGAGGTGGTTTTATTGAGTTTCACCTCATAGTCTTTGTGAGTTGCAAGTCAGGTTACGGTGGGGCTTTAATGAAATCCGGAACCAGACAAGAAGTTTCTTTTGTGGAGGTTTCACTCGTCCACAAAGAATCCAGAGCAGCGACGTCAATGTCGAGTGAAAAATAGTCCTCAAATAGCTCGCCACCATCAACAATTGGAAACCATATTCTGTCTCATTGGTAGACGTACTTCAACACAACGTATGCTTCCAATCCCACTTTAATGGCTCTACTCACCCTCAACCAATGATACTCTTAATGTCGAGTTCGATTGATGGAACTGCACTCGAGTCACCAGGCATCACAAACGTAATGTTCCAGAATTCAAATCCACTGCCTGGTGTTAGTACCAAGTTCCGAGAGACTTTGGGAGATTGAGTGAACTCACTGAATAATTGAACAGGTACCGCCAACAAGGCCACAGAATCCAATTCCCGGCTGTGGATTCACCGAACCACTGACGCTAACTTGTATACCTTCAAGATCGTCTAACCCAGAGATATCTCTCTTCCCACCAAGTGGATTGGAGCTCACGAGAAATGTAAAAATACTGGTAGAATTACCGCGGGGGTATGACAGGCTGAGATGCCCAGGACTCACATCCACATTCAAAGCCTCTTCAGTGCCATGGAGAACGGCATAGCCGACGCTGCCGTCGTTCCTAGCCCACTGCACCACCGCAGTAGACCATTGAGAAGGATCTTCGCGAGGACCACCGAGTGTATCCTCATCATAAGACTCGGCTCCAATAGTGAGGTTGGCCGACAGCCAGGTCGTGATATTTCGGGGAACGGAATCGTGAGGGGGCGAGAAAGCGGCAGTCTCATACATGTGCTCACCAGGGAAAACGCTAAGCTTCTTCACAACGTCCGATGGTACAAGAGCATCATGGAAAGGTGCCAAGACAGAGATGAGCGGCGCGTATTCGAAGTCGTCTGCATGCGCCATGCTCCAGGTCTGTGAGATGCCAGGGGCCCTGTCTTTACCGACGAGAGACCAGATGTAGATGTTGATTATGGCGACATATTGGTTCATGTCGAAGCCGTAAGTCCTATCCCATGGTCCGGCGACGTTGCGTAGATTTGCGTTGTACATGGAACCGATGGAGTCCCAAATGGATTTGATCATGCGAGCACCGTGCTGTCCCATTAGTGACGAGTCAGACGGCATGTACTTGGCCCATAGGGTAAGCGAATAGATGCTGACGCCTGCGTACGTTGGGCTGTTAAATTCAGAGAGTGTGTTGTTTCGGTCAAATAAGTCCAAGATCTCTTGGGCGTACAGTTCGCCGGCAGCTGTCATATTTGAGTCGTTGAGAGCACGACCTGTCCATCCGGTAGCAACGGCGCGCATGATGGCCGGGTTGCTGTAAGAAGGATAGAGGTCGTCGTCATCAACTCCGCCAACACGGTAGCTGTCTCCGATGGTGTTGTTGTACATGCTCTCAAGAATGAGATCCTGGACGTCGCTTGAAAGAAGATGCCTGAACTCTTCATAAATGACTATGAGAGTTGTGCCAATGAAACCTCGCCAATTAGGATCCCAAGTATTGTAAATCTTCACAAAATGATCAGCATCACAATCGAGATTTGGTATGTGTGCGAGGAGAAAAACACTTACGCTCTTGGGATACGCCGCTGTACCAACAGTTGGCTCCTCTGGATAAACAGTGTAGTCGCCATACCTGTTAAACTTTGTTGTAAGTTGAAATTCATCTTGAGACTCTTGATAGTAAAGGGCACTCACCATTGTTCCTCAGGAATCTTCTTCTGATCTCGAACTACGTTCTGGATGATTTTAGTGGCCTGAGCCACATCATCGCCGATGTTACGCTGCAGGAGACCAGTTGCGTACCAGACTGAGGATCGTGTCTCGTGCTTTCCTGCCGCAAGTGGGTAGTAGAAGAAATAAAGATAACCGGCTGCAGGGTCATAGATCTTATCCAAGAAGTCCATAGACTCGGTGAACAAGTCCTTGGTGTAGCCCGATAACTCAACTGCAGTGGCCTGCTGCTTCAGGCCCAAGGCGCTGAGCAAGCCTACCGCAATGAGACTCTTTGTCGACAGCCACATTTTGATTTTAGACAAAGTCCCAATCTCTTTTGGGACGTAGGTGATCACAGCACGCTGGAACATTATTGCTACAAATCCGTTTAACTCCTCAGCTTCACTTATAAATGATGTAAGAATCCGGCAAAGACCGGTACAGCAGTATCACAGGCCAGTGCCGGCTTCGGCGAGAGCGAGTCGTTCCCATGAGCGAACATCTCGGATCGTTTCCTCATAATACATGCCATTGTTACTCCAGAGAGGGGGTCTTGTGGAGGCGTAGTGAATGGTAGGGGATTGTCCTTGGCTGGTGACATGCCGATTTCGACGTTCCGGCTAGTCTCTGGGTGCCTGTGCTGGTTCGTAGCGCGAATGTACATGCATGCCGTTTAACCGAGAAAGCCATGATAGTAGTAATGGGTTTTCTCGTCTTAGCTCGGAATCCTGCGATCGGCAGATAATGCTCGGACTCCCGCATAGAAATACCGGCTGATACACCGGACAGTTCCGGGCCGGTTGCCCGATCGGTGGGAAGCCCGAACCGGTCTACTTAACATGAACCACTATCGGCGTTCAACAAGCCGGTAGATGGAAACCGCTTGAAAAAGTGGTGGAGCTATATCCAAGAATGACGGTTTGAATCCATTTCATTAACTGATTACACCAATATGGAAAAGAAGGAGGTATCTGGCAATCTTCTTTTCGCCGACCCTGAACCGGCCAATGTCCGGGAACACCAAGCTGTCGAGTCGGTCTGTGTGGACTCTGCTCAAATCACTCGACTGATCTAACTTGAAATTGCCAGAGTTGGGAGCGACTAACTCAGATCTGCCTTTTCCACCATTCGTTCGGGTACATATCCGTCACAAAAATGGGTTTGCCTAGAGGAATTGTCCAACACGATGAGAAGTAATGCGATAATAGACGTCCCACTTTCATGGCATTATCAACCATCATCGATAATCCGCTTCCATTTCTGGTATAGTTCAGGCACCTTAAAGTTGTATGAAATACTTCAGATACCGGTACAATAGTCAAGGCCGGGAAGTCGGAAATCGCATTTCGTTATCCTTTCTATCCCAAATGGTTCTGTGTGCGCCTGGAGGTGGTACGATTGTATATGTAGAGATCACGCAACTCCCCACTATTGCGAGAGCAAGAAATACCCGACGCCTGAACCGTTTACGCAACTACTTCTTCCACCATCCATCCAAAAACATATACTATCAATCATGAATGTTGATGCCGAATTCGATGCTTTTGTCATTGATGACTTTGGGCCGTCGGTACGGGTACAGGTGCCGAGCACCGCCGAGGGTCTCGCCCGATTCAACCAAGCATTTCTAGACCCACAGGAAAGAGCCTACGTGCAGCATATCGACTTCCATATCGTTCTACCAACGATTAGTTACAAACATATCAAGAAACTCCAGAGCAGCAAAGAGGCGGCGGAGAATGACGCGATATTCACAAGAGCTATTGTGACTTTTCTTGGTCGGCTGGCTAAGTGGGAACGTCGACGGTACGGCCCTGGTGTCAACCTGAAAATTGCGGTGGAGTCGCCAACGGACAGGTTAGTTGAGGAGATGGAGGAACACGGCGAACTGAGGAACACTCACAATCACCGGGTTGCGCCGATATGGCAAGTAAGAGACCACTTTAGCTACCTGCGGTTTGACTACAGCCTCTTATCGCCATCCGACTCGGGTCCGGCAAAGCTACCGCAGGTGCCATGTGTGTCCGAGTTCGAGTTTGACGGTGGGCCTGGTGGACGGAACTTTCACCCGGACGCAATTTCCGCCATCTCGAGTACACTTCTATCAGCCAGAAAGATGGAATGGAGTTTTAGACTCCCGACTCGCCGATTGACGCGTGCCCGCAAGCAAATCAGATCTTCCCTTGGAAACGCTCTACTCAACACATCGTTCCCGAGCCTCATTGAGTTCAGGATCAAGGTCGACGACAAAGATCCTATGGACGAGACTTACATTGTCGAATCGTTGATGGGCGAGGATGAAGAACAAGATACCTTGTCTCTAGGCGTTCGCCGCTTGTGTCAACTGCCAAACCTTCGGCGATTACACTTGGAAACACTCTGGATCTTATCACCTGCAGCGTTTGGGTCTCTTGCAAACCAGCCAGATATCCATTGTCCCTCTTTAGAGTATCTTTACGTCGACTGCTCAATAACAACACCCGACGGTAAATACTTGCTTACTGGGGACCAAAGTAAGGCCTTGGCTGATGATGGTGGGTATGGCCTCGAGCATGATGAGAAGATTGCCGCCTTCGATTCGGATGACTCCGACATCTCTGATTTTCAACCAGATTTTGAATGGTCTAGACAGGCTGGCGAGTTCCCGGGAAGATGGTTTAGATACACCCCCGAACCAGAAATCTTTGTAGCCTTGGCTACATCATTTGTCGGCGCTGTCCATAGGATGCCGTCATTACGTCGAATGGACATTCACTTTGGTGGTACGTCAACGACAACGAGGGCGCCTTTAGATATGTTGTATTTTGCACCTGGTGAGCCAAATCCAGGTGCAAGTCAGCTCAATGGTCGCAAAGCATTTGACGAGGAAAACGCAGGCCGTCCTAGGTGGTTCTTCCTTGGAGGCCGCAAGTTTGATAAGCAATGGGATATCTCTGAAGAGTCGCAGGAGGCGTGCAAAGGAAAGTCTGGCCTAGGGCGCGTTCATTTTGCTACGAATTGATTTGAGTAGAGTTTCAAGACCACAATCTATCTCCATCTACTAGTACATTAACCGTTCTGCTAATTACTAAATATTGGCACTCCCATGTTAGAGTGCTCAAACTGATTCTAGAAACGTGCTGGTCATCTAGACCTCTCACAGTTCACTGTGATATGTTGCTACCGGGACCAATCTGCATGCCCAGGTTCATATCTGGCTCATTCCCAGGTGCGATGAGCTATGAGTCTCTCTCAAGGTAGGTAATTCAGGGAGCTTATTTCATCAAGTGACAACCAGCCTTGAATACAAGAAAATTGAGTATATACCCTTCTTGTAGCGAAAGATTATTGGTCGTTATTAGCCACTGGGCTTTTACCAAAGTGGTGGCAAGATGGCCAAGACGTTGGAACAATACCCGCCACATTGATGCATATGCGTGAACGCCCGTTAGTGGAAAAAATACCCACTAGAAATCTTGGAAATGGCATGATTCTGTATGCCACGTCTTACATTTGGAAGAAGAGGGGTAATAAGCAATCGAAATCTCGTGGCTCGTCACGAACCGAGAGAAAGGTTGGTGGGTGTTGGCAATTGAGATATTAACAGCCCGCTTCCTTTCACAACAGTGACACTCACCAGAAGTCCACAAATAAGTGAGAAAAGGAGTTCCACTTGCTTGCCGTATTACAATGCCAAATACTATGGCTCATCTTACAAACGCCGCCCATACCGAGTCTTCTAGCCAGCAGAACCCAAAACTACGCAATATGCCTCCAGTGAACGATAACGAAGATCTAGTTGTAGACGACCAGGAGGTATCACGAACGCTTTGTAGTCGATGAAATTATACCTTTACTGAATATTTTTTTAATTCAATAGATCACTAAAGATGTAAGCTCAATCTCTGAGAGTATCATTGCACCATCCAATACAAGTGTGGCAAGCTCAGTGCTTGATTACCGCCTCGAAAATGGACGAACATATCACAAGTATAAAGATGGCAGTACGCGCTAAGCGAACATACTTGACCTGAAGCATGTTTATGCTGAGTATTGGTAGAATATTACGTCCCCAACGACGAAAGGGAGAAAGACAGGCTCGGTACGGTTTTGGGACTAAGAAGATTCATCAAGAAGACTGTACTAACGGACAGTAGACTTGCAGCACAACATGTTCCTCCTCATGTTTGAGAACAAGCTTGGATCCGCCCCGCCGAATGAGAGAGGTACAAAAGTTGGACGGACACTAGATCTCGGCACTGGAAGCAGGATATGGGCCATGGAGTTTGGTGATGAACATCCTGAAGCGGAGGTGGGCGATCCGACTTTCTAGTCGATCTACATGGTATTTGAACTCACAGAGATGCTCGATACCAGGTCTTTGGAGTCAATCTTTCTGCAACCTGGCCAAATTAGTACGTCACCAAGCCGTTTTGGATTCGATATTTCTGTTAAAGCATACTTTAGCTGACTAGCTTTCAGCATGGGACCGAACGTGAAATTTGTGATAGATGACGTTGAGGAGCCCTGGACTTATGACAAGCCGTTTGATTACATCCACAGCCGCATGATGGCGTCTTCCATCGGAGATTGGGAGAAGTACATAAAAAAATGTTTTGAGTTAGTCAGGAGCCGGCTTTCGCTGTTGCCTTGCTAACAAATTCTAGCAACCTGAATGCTGGCGGGTATCTAGAACTCAATGAGTTCGACATCATTCCCACGTCCGATGACGGATCATTAAGGGAAGATTCCGCAATGCTGAAGTCATCTCACATGATCAAAAAAGCTGCTGCGATATTTGGACGCCCATTCCGGGATGTTGTGGGACTAGCAGACCTGATGAAGGGCATTGGCTTCAGGGATGTTAACATCAAACGATTCAGATGGCCGACCAACGCATGGCCTAGAGACCCTAGGCACAAGGAGTTGGGACTTTGGAATAACGAAAACATCACATGTGGGTGGGAAGGCTTCTGTATGGCGCCGTTCACGAGGGCGCTGAACTGGACGAGGGAAGAAGTTCTGCTTCTCATGGACCAGGTTCGCCATGAGTTCAACGACAAAAGTATTCATGCATACTTCAACGTGTAAGCAGAAGTTCTGAATCGCAGATAGACCCTTGCTAACAGTGCTCAGATGGTCGATCCACGGCAGGAAGCCGACGGCAGAAGCGATAAAGTTTGGGGAAGGCAACTGAGTGATTTGGGTAGTTGAAAATGATTCATCTGCAAATGCTGGTCTCTTTCCGTTTTCATATCCGGACTTGGAATCAGTCCCTCAACTACAAATCCGAAATACGGCAGTTTTAGATCGTAAAAGCTGGTGCGTGGGTTGCTAGTTGACATTAAATTCAAGCCTGCATCTATAACGCAGTTCTGTTACATGTTGAATCGTTTCAGACGGAGTTCTGACGAAGTTCTTCTGATGATGAAGTAGAAATCTGTCTTAAACTTTCTTTCGTTGCTCAAGTATCAGACTCCCTTTGCGATCTTTGCCTGCTGGCCACTCTGTTCGCTAGCTGCACTGTCCGCATTGTCCACCCACAGCGATTTTGATACTTGAGGTTGAGTGCTTAGTAACATTGTGAAACTGAATCCCAAATGATTCTGGAGCATGCTAATTCTATCATGCCCATTGATTTCTTAGACTTGTATTGTGTGGCTCTCCGAAATAACTATCTGATTGTGTTAGAAACAGAACATATTGTGGCGCCTTTCTGTCAAGCTTGAATTAAGCATCTGGGGATTGAAAGGTCTCGGTTGAGACTGCCGTCTCGGAGGCTTGGCTGTCTAATCCTTATTGGATTTATGCTTTTCGTCCAGTGTCGCAGCCTTGGCGGTTTCTTCCCATCTGGGATGCGATATGTTCCCGACTCAAAGTATATTCCGTGTGTCTCTTCTTCGGGGAATTTGAGCAACCGCCGTTTCGATGTGGACATGCTCATTCGGGCTTTCGTTAGTCCCAATGCTGTGGTTCCGATACCCTCGGATCCTCCGATTTTTTGCTGGGAGCGATCATTCTCTAGCTTCCTGTAGCTGGCCGTCCTTGCAGCTCGACGCCCGCCAATGACATGCGGTCCTCGGTTTCATCCTAAAACAACTTGCTCTGCTATCATCCGAAGTCAATTCCTCTTGGGTGTTCCCCAACGGACATTAGAGTTGGTGATTTTCCGCTGATCGCAGGGAATGTCTTGGTATTGGCATACCCCCGGAAACTGCAGGCGAGTCGGAGTGTAAGCCAGATGACTCGCCTGATGCTGCTGACGACAGCTTCATTGACTAGATGAGCCCGAGACTGCATGATCAAGTCAAGATTACAGTATCACTGATTGTCGGAACCTTCTAGCCAAGTGAACTAGGTTTGACTGCGACGTTTACTTCGTCTGAGATGCCGCTTCACCAGGGTCCACCTCACGAGGCCGCCACTAAGCACCTGAGTTGCTGACTCTTCAGCATCTTTTGTTGATCGTAGAAGATGAGTATAAAACCGTCGGTAAACCCAACTGCAGTCACTATTCTGTCCCGGTCATCGCACCACTCAATCATTACTTTACTGTCTCTTCCACAACATCCGACAGGATTCGGATCTCTATCACTTTACTTACTTAATCTCATAAGACAATCATTCAACCTAACTCCTTGAGTCGTTCAAAATGCGTCTTACCCTCGCTTTCCTTCTCTTCTTGGTTGCTCTCACTGTGGCTCTTCCAGTAGCCAATCCCGCCAACAACAAATCCTCTACCACCAAGGCAACTACTAAGGCAACCACTAAAGCACCCACCAAGGCAACAAACACAAAGCCCTCTTCTGATAAGAAGAAACTTGAGAAGGGCATCAAAGATAATCTTAAAGCCGGCGACAAGGAGATCTCTGCTACTGAGAAGGCACAGAACGCTGCGAAGAAGAACGACGCCAAGGGCCTGAAGAAGGACGAAAAGAAGATCAATAGTGCGTTGGATGAGGCAACTAAGGATCGCCAGAAGAACCAAAAGATTGCTGGTAACAAGGACCCTGCCCTGACCAAGGGACTGGGAAAGGTCGAGAATGCGCAGAAGGGTGCGAAGCAGACAGTCAATGGCTTGACTGGCGACCCTAAGAAGGATAAGGGGTCGTTGGACAAGCTCGATGCTACTTTCAAGAAGGGCAAGAAGACTAACGAGGAGAACCTGAAGGAGGTAAGTTATACCGATCATTGTACCTTGGCGTTTCTGACTAACACCGCTCAATTAGGCCAAGAAGAACTTCAACTAGTGGCATTGGCATTGACTCTGATAGATCCAAGTGCCTGGTCCATCATTGCAGAAGACATGGAAAGTCATTGGATTATTTAGTTCCTAAGGGGATCACAGAGAATCATCAGTTGAGAGGCAATTGGATCACTTTTATAAGCACATTAAATCCACTAGACACTCAAAGAAGATCCCTGAACAATGATATTAAAGCTGTTTCCATTCATTACCCAAGCGCTCCTAGATATGACGCAAATGGCTGCCCTTACGAAAACCATCCACCTTCAACTGCATTGAAAAACCGTGGGAGCTATTCAAAATGTGCCATGAAAATACTCCGCAACCTGGGGCGGAAGCTGGCGATACGCTCCAAGCTTTCCATCGACGATGAGATCTTCAAGAGTTGCCTTTTCATACCCTTGGACCTCCCAGATATCGGTCCCAACCATTTTGGCTTGCTGGCCAGTGCCCCATATCTTACGGCAGTACCAAGCTAGGGTGAAGAGACTACCTGAATTGAGCCCTGCTTCGACTTCGGAATTGACTCTCTCAAGACTCAAGGAGGAGAGGCGAGGAGGTGCGCCGTGCTTCTTTTCCAACGTAGTAGCAACCTGTTCTCCAGTGACCTTCAACTCCGAAATTGAGATTGACCTATTCTGAATCTGAGCAATTGGCGTCGAAGCGAAGATGGCAGCATATGCCGCGGCCACGTAATTCCTGGTGCTAATCATCACATTGTTAAGCATTCGAGTTTGCTCAGATTTCAGCATCAGCTGCGACTTACCACAAGTCCACAACCTCCTTGGCACTGTTTCCCGAGTATACGATTCTGTTACCGGGCAAGTCTACACCCATGCCACTATTATGTCGATGCTCTAGTCAGCCGAGACGAAATTCAAAGTTTGAAATGCAAGCAAATAGAGGGTAATCTCACGGAGTGTTGAGTGCAAACTCTGCAAAGTTTCCAAGCAGTACCAGCGACGTCGGTATACCAGCCGCGATAGAAACTTCCTCAACTTGGCGCTTAGCCTTGTTGACGCCGATCTTCAACCCTTGTTCGTCGTATTGACCCGCGAGCTCTGAAGGCGAAAACAACTTGACTTCCGTCTTCGGTATGGCCTTGATAAAGGCATGCTGTCGCTCAACGCCTTCGTGCCCAACGAGGGAGCTGGGAGACTGTCAGAGCGTCTGGTCGGGATGGGCTGAACCCGAATGGTACCTCGAGACCAAGAAGTACTTACATTACGACGTCAATGTCATGTAGGGCATCAACGAGTGCTTTCTCATCGTTGACATCCACCTCCACACTGGTGACGGAGGCGGGCAGGCTTGAGATATCGGATCCTGGTCGGTAAATGACTCGAATGGGTGCTCCCGAAGCGATCAAGGCTTCGGTTATCTTCGAGCTTGCCCAGCCTCGATGCCCGTAGATAGCGATACGATTAAAAGACGACATATTGGGACCAAAAGATGAGAACTGCTAATATAACTTGGCTGAGTAGTTTAAGGAGGTATGTGCTGGGGTTAGTTGACTGGATAGACGCACTAGAGGCAGCAAGGCCAACTTATCTATCAGTTTACCAACGTACATCTGTGTTTCAAAGCATCGGCTTGAGGTACCATCTGTGAGACCTGACTACCTATAAGCAAGATTGGTCATTCTTGGTGGTGGGACTATGGAGACCTTCCCGGTCTCTTATTAACGAAAACGAGGTGCATAAGCCACCATGCCACCTCCGTCATGGTAGATGATGATTCCCATGCACCCGACATCCCCGCTCACTGTGTCACCAGCAGGAATATTGGTTTCCCAACCGCATCTGTGGAACAAGACTGATTCAATTAGTCAGCTTTGGGTGGATATAACAATGGCCGTTTCTGAGCAAATTTTGCCGCCGAATACTAATGGGGAACAGTGGGTGCGTTCCGTCCATTTATAATTTTCAGGTATTAGTCAAGATGACACTACCCGGGCGTGTTTGCTTCCGATGAACTGAAGTCTCCGTTCCACTTGGCCGAAGGGAGATAAGGGTCATCAGAGCCTACTTACTTTTGTTAACAGCCCGGGATCTGTTCAATGAAGAGGGCATTAAATATTCGATATACTGAGATTTGTTTTACCAAGATCATCTGCTTTGATATTCACACATGCATCTTATGCAAGGGGAAAATGGGGGGACGAACCCCCAAAACTTCGTCAAGTCAAGGCGTCTGGCTTCATGACATGTTGACTGTAAGAATCCATATTATTGAATCGGCCTTCGGGGGTCGAATTGCGTCAACGTTATGATGCATGTAGTTTGAAAGCGGAGAGCGTCTGCAGCTAAGTACTTCAGCTTTCGGAGCCTGAGCCCCGGTGACATAGCGTAACATTTTCTGACTCTTACATTCGAAGACAAGCGACTTCTACGTGGGGCAGATATCCGGTCCTTGGGGTCCATGTTATTATCTATCAGACAGATCCTTATGACATAGGAGCTCAACTGGACGAACAGCATATGTCGTCTTAAACTGAGCTAAGCACTGCTGGAGACGTAGCCATTCTGCCAAAACATTCGGGCTCAACAGTCAGGTTTTAAGTGTTGTGTCATAGTTGAACTGATTGTTACGAAAAGTATGATTGATAGTTGTATGATTTGTCTATTAATACAATTACGATTCAATACAGGTGCACAGGTACAATGTAATCATAGACGCTTCGTATTTTGCTTCCAGAGTGCTGCGCCCACCATCCATAGCACTTTGACCAGGAATCGCGTCCAATAGATATGCCGTGCCTGTTCCTGAACTCATGAAGCCTGCGCCCGTACGACGCTTTGTAGTAGCGAGTCACGGCTGAGAGTTACATTGCCTGCGTCACCTGGGTCCTTCTGGTAGAAACGCAAACGTCAAGAGGCTAAGATACAAAGAGACTCAACGACAACTGTAGTATAGTACAAATGCAAATGACTTTTATGCTGTGTAGTCCATCAGTAATTCACGTAGAATCAAAGTCGGCCGATAATCGGGCTTCCAATGTCGCGATTTCGGTCGTGTAAGTTTCACGAGCCACAAGAAGATTACACATCATGAAACAGCCCTTTACTGTCCGCCGAGGTGAAACGGCCACGACTAGAGTCTCCTCTCACCGAGCCTTTTACCTCAGACGGTACAGGAAATCTCAGGTAAGCATGCTTGGTACGTTCCGGACTTTCTCCTACTCAGTCTTCCGCCCGGCAGCGGCAGCCGAGTGTAGGCGATGGCCGCACTCGGATCGCCGCGGTCCGCTTCGCAAATCAACGGAGGCCGCGCACGAACGGTTGGAGGAAATGACATCACATGGCACCCTGGGACTCGGATGTCCGTTTGTCGTGCCAAGGATGGCATCTGATTCAGCGTCTCTTTGCCAATGTTTTCGAGTTGGCATTTCATGAAAGATCAGATTGTGATCGTGCATTTATAAGGGGTCTCCCCTCGTTTCCTGACGAGAAAGCAAGTGCATCGTGATAGTATCCCATGCAATCAATTTGACGTCTATACTTCAAGATGAAAGAACCACAGCGACGATTACGATACAATGTCGCCATATCACTCGATGGCTTCATTGCACCTCCAGATGGATTAACGGATTGGATCGTACAAGACGACAATATCGACTTCCATGCACTTTATGCCCAGTTTGACACGTTTGTTATGGGCCGCAAGACGTATCAGTGCATGTTCGCTATGGGCGAGCAAAATCCCCTACGACAATATCCAAAGCAGAACCTGGTTGTTGTTAGCAGGACTCTGAGGAGCGACGATCACCCGGCTGTGACTATCGTATCGCACAACTTCACCGGCTACGTGGCGGACCTCAAAAACGCGGAGGGCCGGGACATCTGGCTCATGGGCGGCGGGCAGCTGGCGGGGCCGTGTCTGGATGCGGGGATCCTAGACTCCGTCGAGACCGCGATCATGCCTGTGATGCTGAGGAAAGGGACCAGAATGCTGCCTGACTCAGCGCTCACGCCGCTTGGGGGATTCAAATTGGAGTTGGTGGATTGCAAAAAGTTAGACACGAGTGGTATTGTGAACTGCAAGTACAATGTCAGCAGGAGAATGGCAGCGTCTCTGGGTGAAGCATTATCATTCTGTTGAACGGGGGGGTAGTTGATATGAAGAAGAGGCTCCGAAAATACCCTCACGTGGTAAAACATACCCAGCCATTGTGTAAGGTCGTTTAAAAGTTACTTTGTTTACCTAGAAGAGAATAACTGCTGACTTTTTTCACGATTCTCCGATGGAACTTCCGCCGTCACCTCTGCAGGGCTTCGGCGCGTATAACTCCTTTGCTCAAGCACCAGATTTAACTGGCCGGCATGTATGCATGAATTCCATTGATGGGTTGCGAAGCATCCCGAGCTGAATTGAATCTCATGACCAAATCTTCATCGTCTCGGCTCGCTAGGACATGCCGCTTGAAGATGGAGAGGACGCGTCCTCCCCTCGCCGAAATTGGTGTCGCAAGTGACGCAGACGTGCAGCGGATCTACGTAGGACGTGGACAGAACCCCTCAGCGCGTTGGTAGCTCTCGTCCCACCATGATCTCTACACAGGTAGGCAGATCAAATATCGAGAGAAAAAGCGGATTATTAAATCACAAATGTTCAGAGTCTAACGACAGAATTCCAAAGGTCTCGAAGGATTCGACTTCGCGTCTTGATGCTCGAGCGGCTTAAATCCGCGACGGATTCTTCCCTTAGCTCCGCTAATCCCCTGGCGGTGATCATAAACATTGAGCTGTGGGCTCATAAATAACGCTGGAGTAGTCTCAAGTGATCTGATTGTTCCCACACATCTTTCTTTCTGGCCAAAGATGGCGACAAGAACAACTCAAAACATACTGATCCTCGGCGGCACCGGCAAGGTTGGTCGCCAGATCACGAAGCTGTTCGCACAAACATCAACCCCCGTCTACCAAAGTTCCCGGAGCGGGGCCTCCACAACGGAGCCGGACGCCGAAAACGTTCATGCCGTCGCGTTTGACTGGGAGAATGAGCAGACATGGGCCACGGTCCTAAGCATCGGCGCTGCTAGTGTCTTTCTTGTGGCACCGCCGGTGATGGATATGCTTCCGCCGATGCGGTCATTCATTGACCAAGCGAGGATCCAGAGTCGCAAAACGAGATTTGTGCTGCTGAGCGGCAGCCCAGTTGAGCCTGACATTAATGGGTATGCGATGGGTCGGCCGCATGCGTACTTAAAGGAGCTCGGCGACAAGGGCGAGGTGGAATGGGCTGCATTGCGACCAACGTGGTTCCAACGTGAGCTTTTGTGTTCACCATCCTAGTTTAATGCCAGTGAGCTGATATGAGAGCAGAAAACTTCGCAGAGCAGGAACATCATCGCCTGGCGATTATCAACGAGAGCACCGTGTATTCCGCCACCGCCGACGGCAGGATTCCCTGGGTGGCTACAGAGGACATCGCTGCCTGTGCGTTCCAGCTACTCACTCAAGAAGACGCGCCGAATGACGAATATCTCATTCTTGGGCCTGAGCTACTCACTTACGACGAGGTGAGCGCCGGTAACCCTATTCTTAAGTAATATACGAAAATGTTAATTGCTGATCTTTCCGTGGCAGGTCGCTGGCATACTCTCCGACGTTCTGGGACGAAAGATTGTGCACAAACGTCTTTCATCACAGGAGCTGGTGGACCGTTACGCCGCTCAGGGCATGCCGCGGGATTACGCGGAGATGATGGGTGGGCTGGATACGGCCATCAAGAACGGGAGCGAGGACAGGACCAACAGCGTCGTCCTTGCGGTGACTGGGAAACAGCCAAAGAAGTTCCGTGACTTTGCTGAGAGGAACAAGGCAGTCTGGGCGCAAGATGCCTGAAAACATGGTCACAATAGGCGGCTCTTCAGGCTTGAAGCGAGTATCGGCTCACCGAACTCAGGTGAGAAGGATGAGTGCATGCGGCAGTGACGCTGTGAGATGCCTCCCACCCTTGCTCATACTATCTGGTCGCTACACCAGACTTTCTTTCTCGGCGAGCGTTCCATGTCGCCTACACGTACATTAAAACGAATAGAAGGGGAAAAAGGTTTCGTTTTCAGTCAGCAAACGCCGCCGTTTTCAGCCGAAAGCTAATACAGCTTGTCCTCGCGTGCGGGGATGTGCGCTAAGGTTGAAACAAGTCATGAGATCACAAAGCCTCCCTGCGTGCCTGAAAGTCTGCGACATGAAATGCGAGCTCATTGTCCTTTCTACAACATCTATCTAATCAGATTGCTCAAGCTCCGATTCGAATGACTTGTGCATGAATCTCACGATATGGACTCATCATTTGCCGCGATTGAGGATGAAATGCCGGGGAAGGCCGGCGGCCGGGGTAATGCCCGGAGCTCGGCGGAGACGGCGAACCCACTGACGTACCCCAAGGCGGCTGAGCCATTCAGTCAGGACCTCTTCAAGAACCCAACATCGGAGTATCGAGGATGCCCTCTGTGGTCATGGAATACGAAGCTGGAAAAGAAGAAGCTCCTCCGCCAGATTGATCATCTCAGTGAGATGGGCATGGGAGGTTTCCACATGCACGTCCGGACCGGACTAGATACCGAGTACATGGGTCCGGAGTTCATGGATCGTGTACGAGACTGCGTGGAGTATGCGGAGAGTAAGGGGATGCTCGCCTGCTTGTAAGGAACCCCAAATCCCGATCATTCTTCAATGAGATTGCTGATGACACTCATCAGATATGACGATGATCGATGGCCCTCTGGCGTTGCTGGGGGCAAGGTAGTCAAACAGTACCCAGAGCATAAGACGAAGCACGTTCTGTTCACGCCGTATCCATATGGCTCAGTTGAGCTCGGCGGGTAAGTCTTCAGGCCATCATTCTCGCATCCATCTGACGCGAGTTTTAGTGGGTGCGCTCCAAGTTCAGCACAGGCCTGCCGGAGTGAAGAGGGATACCTCTTGGCACGCTTCTCAATCACCCTAGATGAGAATGGACGCCTGAAGTCGAACAAGAAACTTGAAGAGGGTGAGGATGCTGAACCAGGTGGGAGAGTCTGGTACGCATATGTCGAGATCAACCCCCCGTCATCTTGGTTCAACGGGCAGACGTACATCGATACAATGAGCACCGAGGCCATGAACCGCTTCTTAGAGAGCACCCACGAGGTTTACAAGAATAAGATTGGCGACAAATTTGGCACGACGGTGCCCTGTATCTTCACCGATGAGCCTCAGGTGGCTATCAAAACACAACTCTCCAGTCCGACTGGAGTGGAAGACGTCTTTCTTCCATGGACAGCAGATCTGCCCGACACATTCAGAGCGACGTATGGCGAGGATGCAGATCTCGTCGCTAGCATCCCGGAACTGCTCTGGGATCTCCCGGGAGACACACCAAGCTTATCCCGCTACCGCTTCCACGATCATGTCAGCGAAAGATTCGTTACATCGTTTCTCGATCTGCTGGCAAATTGGTGCAGAAAGAACAAAATCATTCTCAACGGCCACATGATGGAGGAACCCACACTGCGTTCGCAAACAACTGCCCACGGCGAAGCAATGCGTTGCTACCGAAACCAGACGCTTCCGGGCATGGACCTTCTAAATGACTGGGTCGAGTACAATACTGCGAAGCAGTGCACGAGCGTTGCCCGCCAGAACGGTGTTCGCGGCGCCATGAGTGAGATTTATGGGTGCACCCACTGGTACTTCACTTTCGAAGGGCACAAGGGCTGCGGAGACTGGCACGCGGCTCTAGGCATCACGTTCCGCGTGCAGCACCTCAGCTGGGTCAGCATGGCCGGCGAGGGCAAACGTGATTATCCCGCCAGCATCGGATATCAGAGTCCATGGTATAAAGAGTACGGCTACGTCGAGGACCATTTCGCCCGTGTTGGTGTCGCCTTGACGCGCGGCAAGGCCGTCACGCGAGTTGGTGTGATCCACCCCATTGAGAGCTTTTGGTTGTGCTTCGGTCCCAATAACAGCGGCGATGATGAGATTGGTCGCCGTGATCAGGCTTTCGCCGAGCTCACAAACTGGCTGCTGCATGGCTTGGTTGATTTTGACTTCATCTCCGAGAGCCTTCTCCCGAATCAAATCGGCGTAGATGTCTCGAAGCCTCTCAAAGTTGGTCAGTGCGAGTACGATGTTGTCATTCTGCCGAACCTACGAACTATTCGGTCATCGACCTTCGAAGTCGTGAAGAAATTCACTGCCGCTGGGGGTACCGTCATAATCGCTGGTGACGGTCCGGTTCTTATCGATGCTCAGGCTGCGCCGCCGGATCTTAGCCTTGACATCGAGCCGTCGGTCAAGGTGGCTTGGGGTCAAGGCGATATCCTCTCTGCGGTATCTCAAAACCGTGACTTGAAGATCGACTTGAAGGATGGAGGGCCGACCGATACCCTACTCTATCAGATGCGCCAGGATGAGGAAGAAAGATTTGTCTTCATCTGCAACACGGATAGAAATAATCCGTACGACACGCTAGTAAATATTAAAGGCGACTGGGACGTGGAGGTTTTGGATACTTTCACCGGTTCAACTCATCACCACAAAACTCGTTATGAAGGTGGTTGGACCATCTTCGATCACAGATTTGAAGGTTGCGCAAGTCTACTCCTGAGACTTTACCCCGTGCCAGGGGAAGAACTGTCTTTTGTCAGTATCGAAGAAGCACTAGCGCTGGCTCCAGCTCAGCACTCTTCTGCGGAACTCAAGCTCGAGGAAGTCGTGCTCTCGGAGCCAAACGTTCTGATGCTCGATTACGCGCTGTACAGGATCGACGATGACCCCTGGGAGGACTCTGCACGACAAGAAATCCTCAAGATCGACAATGAAATTCGAGAACGTCTGCGCATCCCGGCTAAGGGTTCCGCCTGGAAGCAGCCCTGGTCCGTCCCGCAGTCGGAGCGAGCAGCAAAGGTCTATGTCGACCTCAGGTTCGAGTTTGATTCCACCGTCATTATCAAGACTCCAGCCTACCTCGCGATGGAAAACCCCGAAAACGCGAGAATCACCATCAACGGCAACAAACTCCCAGTCCAAGAGAAAAGGCTCTCTTGGTGGGTCGATGAGGATATCAAGACCATTTCGGTGCCGAAGAGAACGATTCGCAAGGGGAAAAACATCATCGAGCTCAGTATGCCCTTTGGTGTTTTGACCAACCTAGAGAGGATATACTTACTTGGCAGCTTCAGCGTTGAGCTGAAGAACAATCTGCCTATACTATGTGAGCGAAGACAGAGCTTGGGTTGGGGCGATGTGGTTACACAAGGTCACCCATTTTATGCTGGTAACGTGACGTATAACTGCAGCTTCTCACTGAAATCTCGCTCGGCTGTCACCCTCTCGATTCCAAAGTTTGCGACGCCCGTCATCAAGGTTCAATGGAAGGGGAAGAGCGGGCATATTGCCCTGCAGCCAAGGAAACTAGATCTTGGTGAACTAGAATCCGGCAAACACGAAATCTCGATTACAGCCTTTGGTTACCGGTACAATTCATTTGGCCATATACACCTCACAGACGGCGTCTTTGGATGCTGGCCTGACATGTGGCGAAGTAAGTAATCTAGTGGTAATCTCTGCATGGCAGCATGCTGACGTGATTCTCAACAGCTGGTGGATGGGCTTGGAGCGAGGAATACCTGTTGAAGCCTACCGGAGTCCTGGAGAAGCCCTCCTTGATTGTGGAATCAAAGGCCGGTGAGGCGAGTGAAGAATGGATTGTCTTGGTCGAATAAGTACCTCAGCCTTGATTTTTTTCAACCGCAATCAAGGAGAATCAGCAAAATTGTACGATCATATGGCTATGAGCGCTACTGGCGACATTTTGTTGTAATACTACTCTTTTGAACAGAAAATGAGAATTCGAATGTTTGGTCAAGAACTGAGGAGGGGCATCCCATTATACCTTTGGGCGTCTCTCAGCTGAGTATCGTGTATCGCAATTGTATTCATCCACTGAGACCCCCAACCCGGAGATTCATGGCAACGCTTCCATTAGCACCGACACCTACAGGAACGCCGACCCTATCAGACGTCTGTGGAAACGAATCTGCGGAGAATAGTGTACCGTTGCCGATAAGATCAAGGTCGGCGCCGGTGAGCTGATGTTGTCTGTCAGAATGCTATTTCACAGAGACTGCAGGCACATGAAGTGTTCACTTACACCGAGTAGGGATGACGGGCCAGCTGCTTGATAACAGACAAGACTGCCGTTGCTTGCGCTGCAGGGCTCGTAGCCACGGATGGCGACATTTTCGACAGGGGTTCCGACAGTGTTGAATGGATAGCACGCTAGACTGCCTGTGATGAAGTTGCCGTACCCGTTAATACAGCCAATCCTTTGGCCGTTTTCGAATGCAAGAAGCTCAAATGTCCTGGGGAGTGTTGCAAAAACACCGCAGTTCGAGCCGAGAGTCAGGGCAATGAACTTAGGATGCATTCTGAAATATCTGAAGAGATGTTTCTTCGAAGGAATATCAAGAATCAAACTTCTTCTAGCGGTACTTTGCCTCCAATACCCGACATTTGTACTTGTATGCTGCCTTTGTTCCTTGGGAATCAATGAGTGTGAGAATATTGAAGGCAAACAGTAGCGCCACCGTAGTAATATAGGCGGAGCAAGTGCATTAAGCTTAACATTCTACTCTGAACGATGTCAACGAGCAAACTGACAATTTTATGACAAAGGCCATGTAAGTCAACATACCCACTTCCTGGCACCCCCCTGTTTCTGGCACCACAAAAACGATGGGATCACAACCCAACCTCCTCATTACTATTAACTATTGATCCTCAACCACACCCACTACAATACAGCTGCCAGCCTCACTAGGGCATTCAGAGTCGCTGGATTCAGCCGTGATAAC